CTTCGAATAATATTAGAGGATAAACTTTATTATCCTGCCGCGTAAACTCATCGTTTATTCCCAAGTTTTAGGTATTTACTTAAAAAGTTGGACGTTTAACAATTATAACGTCAATTTTATGAGGCAGAATATTTCGACTACAAAGGATGATACCCAATGCGGAAATTAAAAAAATTCTGAAACTTCCGAGATGGCTGAGACATGCGCGAAAATGTATTACGGAATTATTTTACAGCGGAAATTTACTTTCGGGGTGGAAATTAACCCTCAAATACGCGGCCGCTCTTCATTTACTTTTTATAATTCGCAAACTACGCAAGGTAGACAAAAAATCTTTTGAATTTTCGGCTTGTGGGTCATCTCTTGTTAACTTAACTTATAATTCTCTAACTATTTTTCATTTCCATATAAATTTGACTACGTATAGTACTATTTGTCCGAGCCGGAGTGTTTAAATTCTGTTTGCCAGCTCACGTTCGATTATTCTATTCTCTTTGCCTGTCCACGTACAGCTTCGTTCCGCTTCTCCGTCTATTGACTATTTAATTTTCCCATTTATATCTTATAAATTCGGTACAATACGAAACTGAACCACCGTTCTCCTAAACAACAAATTTCTGCACATTTACACATCCACGTTCCAGGCCAGCGTAACTCTGATTTCCATTTCGAATTTGCCCAGAGATTACATTACGATATGTATGAAATGATACCAAGATACAAGCAACATCCATGGCCATAGTATCTTATTTTAGATCAAAGGAAAAATATCATTAGTTAATTAGATTCCGCTGCTATTCGCTTCTGACTTCTATGAGACGTCTCCTTTGAAGGCCTCTTACTTATTTTGTATAGACGCGGTCTATCGAGATCGTTATCACTTTTTCTCCGCATAAAGGCCAACTCGAAGATGTCGAAAGGCAAAGTTAACGTTGCGTTGCACCAGTTAAACGTGGATCGTGCTACGAAATCGGTTTCGAGGGAAGATCGGAAGAGGTCGTTGAAGCGAAGCTCGACTCGTTCTTAACGCCGACACGAACACGGTGGCGGCGGCGGTAATGCATGACGGAAGAGTAGGAATAAGTATCGATCGGCCGCAGTGGTCGGCTAGTAGTTACTGGCGAGCATGGTCAAACAGCAGTAATAGAACCGGTCGTGGTCAGCCAGTAGTAAGAGGGTAGTTGCGGTCGGACAGTTAGTATCAGGTCTCGCTGCGGTTAGTCGCGAATAACAAACAGTTTTAGTTCATCATATTGTGTTGTTGCTTTGAAACGTACGTGGTCGCGGCCCCGTTAACACCAAAACGCCCTGGGGAAATTGCCAGTTGCGCATCGGGAATAAGGGGACGCGTCGTAAGAGACGAAACGAAATTTATGGCCTCCTTTCCTCGACGAACACGAGGAAATGAGCAGAATTATAACTTCGCGGTATAAATATATCCACGGTATAGAAAAAGTTTACGATATACGTCAGTCGTGCGAAGAACTTTGAGAAAGGGTAACAACGACACTTTGACGTTTGAAAGGTATTGGAAAGGCAATCATATTAGGGAAATGGGGATACCACATCGACTGCGCGAGAAGAATCGTACTGGTTCGGTGACTATTTCCGGTTCGTTATTAGCGAGGTAGAGAATGGAACATTTTTTGGACAGGATTGTTACGGGGATGAAAAGTGGATGCATATTAATGTCACTGGCAAAAAGCAATGGGTGGATATAGGAGAAACTGCCGCGTCCAATGCAAAAGGGAAATTGCGTGCTGAGAAGATTATTCTGTGCATGTAGTGGGACGAGAAAGGAATTATCCATTGGGAATTGCCTCTACCTAATCAGACTATTACGGAAGAGCTGTGGCCAAGTCCCTTTGAACCTTTTCAATAAAACATATTTCTAAACTATTTTCTAAACTATTGCTAACACGAAATATAGAAATCGATAGTTTCCTTGATCCATATCTAAACGATTTGATGGACGTTTTAATAATCAGAGGGGAAACTGTTCGAACAAGTTAGGTTGCTTGCAATACGAAAGTATGTTGTCACCGTTTGTCAACAAGTAACGATTCGAAAGCACGAACCAAGGAAGTCAGGTTGGGCCAACTTGCCGTGCGTTTAAGAGGATGTCAGGTCGAAACAAAGCCGATTAAGCGCTTAAGACCGAATCGGTTGAACGCCTAATTACGTCGTGAACGGTGTTCGGTACCACTCCCTCTTTGTTCCCTCCGGTTGTCTAGCTTTCACCCTCTGTCTACCTCTCATTGGTCCCTGTCTTTGTTCCGGTTCTTATATCGAATCGTTTAACGAAAGTCGAAAGCAACGTTTAACCCTTTGTCGAGTGCTTCGAATATGCTATTCCTCATTTTCTTTATACTTATCTTTGATACGGATCTATCGTTCTTCCTGCTAAATTTAATTTAAATCTGATAAGGGTAACGTCAGAAATTTGCCTCGTTAATACAACTTCTTGACAGCTGTCAAAGTTCATTAAACGTATCTCGATTCGCGCGTGGCCGTGCTTGGGTTTTCGTTGATCGGTTCGGGACTGTGAAATGGCTAACTATCGTTGGATTACTTGCGTAAATGCGTCACGTTGCGTAATAGCCTGTTTTGTTTTCCGCGCGCGTCCATGTGGGACACGATTACCTATGTCATTTCGAGTATGATTTCCCCATTGATTCCGCGGGGAATTGATCAGCGCCATATAGAACGAATATCGGATACCGGGTGTCAGGCAGAAGTTATCTCGCCGTGACATAAAATTATACCAACTGCGTCGGCATACTAAACAGCTTCCCGATCATGATACATCGTACCGATCGTGACTTTCGCTTTGTTCCTAAATATTCTAAACTCCGACACGGAAGTTTTCTATATAAAACACACTATATAGCAAGCTTTTTATATCGGAATGATATGGAAAATGAAGCCGATTTAGAAGGACGTGCTAACCCAGGCCTAACCCATCGAGCGAACAAGTTCTGGTTCGGTGCAAGGCGAAATTATTTAGAAACTATGATATCGTTTCACGAGCAAATCCCTTCTCGGACCGTTTCATTATTGATGATTCAATCACGGCTAACAACGTATTCACAAACGGATGTTCTCATTTCCCGGATCCACGGTATGTATTTAGCAAACGGAGACCGACGCGACGGACGTTTCGAAACATTTCCGAGACACAGTCTCGTTTCACAAGGTGCAAGGATGCACTGAAATTCGCGCTGCAAAGGGTACGATGAGGGCTGCATGTTTAGGATCTTCCTGTTTGCACTTACGGGATTTCCCGGCCATGATGCACGAGTCTCCGGTTTCATTGTTGAGCAAAGAGGATCGAACCAGATTCTGCGTTTCCTTCAGTTTCAACTGATTGTTTGCGCGAGTCTGGTACACCATTATGCTGATAAATACAATACACGCGCGGTATACTCCTCTGTATCGTCGATGAGCTCGGACGTAGGAGAATTAATATTTCTGTCGCATAATTATTAAATTACGTACAACGAAATAATCTTATATTTACGCGTCGGGGTATCGTTAAATAATTTGCTGCATGGTATTGCAGAAAATTCATTTTATATTTGGAAATTACGCTTCGTATTGATTCTCTTGGTACACGATAGCCACGGTAGGGATCTGGAAGTGCCACATGTGGCTCGTGAGCCGTAATTTGCCCTCCAATGGTATATAATGTATCGTAAAATCATTTCCACAGAACAAAATGCGTAGATATTAAAGTTAGTTTCTATCCTAATTTACCAAGAGCGCTTCTTTTACCAATCGGTCGAAGCAACTATTGATCTCGCACGATAAAATCAGAAGACGGCAACCGAGCATAATAATTTTCCGGCAAGCCATAAAATTCCGAGTAAAATCTGCGTGGAAACTTGCAACTGACACGTCCGAGTTCTTTGGTTGATCCAGGGCCAAGCAGAAGACAGGGTACGCCTCCTGGATCCTTGACACCTGGAACACGGCCAAGCTTAGGTTCTCTAGGGGCGTCGAACTTATGCCGTCGGCAGACTTTCAGAATTATTGCTCGGCCGCGTGAGCAGCTACGGTGTTTGTTTTCGTCCCGATGGCTGCTGGCTCGTTGTCTCACCACCTATTTCTCTTCCCAATTTTCCATCATCGTTGCACTTTCTTCGCGTTATTCCGTAACTGGAATCGATGTACAGGCGCAACATCGACGAGCGTGTCTATCGGAGAAAATAAACCGTTCGATGATCGATAGCCGGAAAACAGGCGAGAAAGGGTTCCAAGTGTTTTGCGAGGCATTCTCGCCAAACGAAAAACACGTTGTTTGGCGGGAATGAAAGCCGGACAACGTTGAACAAACCAAGAGATTTTTGCACGGTCGATCGAGGGAGCGTCTTTGCAAACAAAACAGTATCCAGCATCCCAGATATTCCGATATGTTACTTTTCAATTTGCCTGGTAGAAATAACAATACAATGGGCATTCGTTCTCTCATCGTACGTCACGGTTTCAAATTCGAAAATGTTTCTCCTTTTGATATGTATACGAGACACAAGATTGGAATACGCTGGACTTTGATGTCACGTTCCAGGGTTATTTGTATAAATGCATTTTTTCGTTTCTCCGAAGAAACTATTGAGAAGAGTTGTTAAATATGTGTCTGAAAAGCTGTTACCGGCATGGAATTTTAATGGAAAAAGAATGAGTTTCTCGCTGATTCCGGTGAATAGAGGACGGAACGAATGGATGTACGGAGCCGATTTCTGCAATCCGCTTATCTTGGTCGACTTGGTCGGATTCTCGTGAAAACTTTGTCACCAGTGCGCTTCAAATCCGTTGTACTTATAAACGGGGCTAGACGGCGATGCTCATTGTTTCCCGATTCTCCCGATTGAACGGTCGATGAGAACCGTCGAGGAGAAAATCTTTGATCGTGATAGAAACATTTTTAATAAAACCTGCTGTTAATAATCCTAGTGGTAATCGTTGGAACAGATTCTAAGACGGTCTTCTTTTGCTTTCAGGCTGAACTACCTGATGTCGGGATTAACGCCAAGCTGGTATCACGCGACGAATATTGGCTTGCACGCCATTGCATGCGTTTTGGTCACAAGGGTGAGCATAGTCGTCGCATCGTTGCGTCCCGGATTTGCAGCCCTGACCGGGTTGCTGTTTGCCGCTCATCCTGTACACACGGAAGCGGTGAGTAACCAACAACTTTTAACAGCAGTCTATACAAAGAATAAGCACTGGAAATAACGTGAATTTCTGCGCTTCTCGCGTACAACTTAATGGCGACTGAATCGAGATTGAACGTTAACTACAAAGTGCTAATTAGTTGACTGTTTAGCACGGTCTGAACACTTTTATTATCTCGATCCCGTGCTACATAATCGATTTGGATTATCGAGCTTGCAGCGTGTAGCAATCTCGAGCGCCGCCGATAGACATTAATCCCACGTTTTCAGGTTCGCGTGGGAGCAAGTTTATCTTAAGCCGATCGAGGGATAAGGGACCAATCGGTGAGAGGAAGTCTCTCTTGTTCTTCTCGTGGCATCGTGCGCGCGCGACACGCAAGAACAATGAACTTGGACGTCAATGATAATGTTTGTCTACTTAACCTGGTTCGGCTAAGCGGGTAATGGTAACATTGTACTCGTCGTTGCTGTTGGTTATCTGCTGTTTCAGAGGGTTCTGGTTTAAAGTGGATCGGGCCACGGGGTTGATGGTTAAGGCTGGGACGCGCGAAGTTTAATAACAGCTGTTTACAGATACCAGCCCCCCCCCCACCGTCTGTGTTAGGTTTCGCGGGCACGAACTTACCGGATAGGAAAGTTAAGGAAATGCACTGCGAATCGTTAGCAGCCTGAAACGCGATCACCGAGATTTTCCCGACGACTGTTTTACCTGATAAACGATCGATCGATAGCGGAAACGACGCTTCCGTGACATTCGCCGTGATCATGATCTGCGGAGGAATAAACTTGAACGGCGACGGAAAAATTTGCATTTTACCAAGTTCGAGATCGTTCGATAAACGAAAGAAAGCTCGTTCCGGTGGGGCGAAGGGCAGCCAACCGAAGAAACTTGGGCAACGACGGTGGCAAAGCGTCGCGTTTCTCGGTCAAGTGTTTCGGATGGACGGTAATTCGTGCAAGATGCAACGTTTCGAGCGAGAATTACTACCGACACACGACATTGATTCCTTGAAGAGAGGTCTGCCCATTACAAGCCTGAGCCGGTTGTTGGTCACGCACTGCATCCTGTTACATCGGTTGCGTGCACGCGCCATTGCGTGTATCGCGCGCGTTGCGTGTCCACCTAGGCCTTGTTGCCCGTGTCGTTACCGCTATGTCATGCTCGTGTTACGTTCGCGGATGAAGAAGTCGGATATACGCGCGTAACTCGCGACGACATTAAGCTGGACATCAGCCTATCTCGTAAACGATCTCCTCGTCTTATTGCACGAATTTAGAAACTTTACCTCTCCCAGCCACTCGGCAGTTCGCGGACGATTTCACGGCTACGTTGCCGCGAACCGAGTAATAAACGGGATATTAGATCGAAGATGCCCGAGATCGCGATAACGATCACAGCGTGACGAAGAACTGACATTGAAAAATGGGGATCGAAAGCGTCGATCAGGGAAGAAGAAATATGGAGACTCATACTGCGGTTAATAATATCTTTTATAGGTTCCTTTTTACACAGTCATCTCACAGTTGTACCCTTTACTTTTTATTTCGTGAATAATTTATGTCAGAAATCTTCTTGAATTCTGAGCGCCCGAACACCGCGGCTTGAACTCTTTGAAACATTATAGTTCATGATCATATCGCCTACTATAATTTCTGCTGTCTTCTATGTTTATTTTCACATTTACTTTTACACTACATACCAATACTTTTTCTTAAATAATTGTTTTTGCTAGAATCTTTTATCTTCTATCCGATGAAAATTTAAAAATGTTTTAACATAAAAGAGAAGGATATCTTACGAATAAACATCAAATGGCAGGAATAGGTATACACGAAGTGGCAATAGGTTTAGCGTTAAACTAAAGGATTGTTTGTTACAGAAAATGTTGCAATTACTGTTTCGCGAATAGTGTTCCAAGACTTTGTAAGAAAAAGCCGAAAGCGTTGCGCGCTATGAAACGAGGAGGAGGATGTTTTGCTTTCTGTGTCGTCCAATCGGAATCGCAGCTGTCATCGGACCGAACCGATTCGCACGGCAACCCTCATCATATTGCTATTCAGCCGCTGCTTCGACAATAGACGCTGAATCCCTTTGTTTGTCCTAGCGGGCGTTGTTTACCGAAATCATTAAACCCTGCCCGGATTGAATCCCCGATCGAGCAACGGTACTGGCGACGCGTTAATCAAGTTGAACGGCGTCGGGCGATCTGAAAAGGCCTGTTCGCTGGCAGAAAGACAGAGTCTTTTGATAGGCGGACACGATGGAGTCAGTCATTTATCGTGAACGCGCGCGGGGACGGTTCTTTGTGCCAATTTCGGGCAGTTTGGCGAGTCGCGAGGCGCGCGTCATTTCCCGGTGTTGTCGATGAAACGCGAACGCGAGCACGTCCTCCTTGTCGAATCAGTTTACGTCGCCCTGCTGACGCTGTTTGCTGAAATGATCAAGCGGTGAAAGCACGGCCGGTTTCTGGCTGTCGGATTAAGCCCTCGGACGAGCGTTGAAAGGAAGCGCGTTAATTAAGTACAACGGCACTGAAGCGGCTGTTTTCAGTGTAAACCCAGCCGAACAAAGGGCGAACCGGTTCGGAAGAGGGACGAGAGCCCACCGTGAAGAGGGTCACCGACCGTTCACGGACTTGGCCGTACAACCGACGCGACGTACGCCCGAATTTCACCGATCGATCGATTATCACGCCCGTCGCGTCCGTTATGTGGGTCAGCTTTTCTTTCGCGTTCCTCGTGAATTGATCGCCAAAGTACCCGGAAACGAGCTACTCTGCCGCATCGACGCGGAAACGGCTGTTCCTTTCACGGAATTCTTCGCGCCTGCTCGCTACAACGTGTTTCGCAACGAGGCTTACCTCGCACAATGGTAGTCGTCTTCGAGAACCGACCTTTCGTGTCCAACATCCAATTTTTCCATTGTTTTTTCATCCAAGTAGAAGGCTTTAAATAACGTTTTCTTCAAAGGTGAAACTTGAGAAATTTGTTTAATTTTAAAAAATCGTAGAAATTATTGGTACAGGGAATATTCGTCCTGTGTTCCGTGGGCTCCGAACCGACACGTACGTGGATCAGCAACGGGGAGGAGAGTTAACGCGTTCAGAAAGTTCCGGAAACAGCTAAATTACACGCGAAATCTAGAGACACACCAGACCCAACCGACCATAAATCAGGAGACACCGCGGACACTGTGAAAAATTGCTTAGACTTTACCAACCAGCGTTCATCCTTTTATTCGACTTTTTCACTTTTCCAACCCTTTTCCGTGATTTTTCGCGCAACTGCCCCGCAATTTATGATATCTCGAACGAGTTTAACGTTTCTGATATATCGATTAGAAACGCTGGATGGAAATACCGCCATTTGTTGTTGAGTTTTTACTAAAATACAATTCTTTCTAATACCGTTGCTTCGAGTATTACCGCTTGGTAATACATTGTTGTCTTAAAAAAGAATCTTTGCGTTTATCGACCTCCTCCAGATCAAAATGAAACTATACCTATATACGTATGTACGTACGGGACAGTGGGTGGATAACTGGGTTTAGGAAAAATGAACGTGCCACTTGTTGTTTCGTGTCGCTTAGATTGACGAGCGTGGTGTACACAACGTGGCAAGAATCTAACAAGAAAGGGAGGGTTAGGTGCGATGAAACGACGCAGAAGTAGAAGTCTGTTTGAAGTTGTCGAGCACCGTTTCAAGTTTACGTGCACGCTATACGATTCGCCAGTTAAGGTTTTACGATCCTCTGGTTAATAATTCGACCGGTAACTGCACCAGGTCGTAGAGTTCCAACATTATATTGCAATAACCAGAGACGCGTTGCAGTAGGATTAGATCGAAGCCTTTGTTTAAAGAAAAGTATAGATAGAACAGTCAACAGCCGATAATAAGATTCACGATCAAACGAAAATGTAGACAATTTTCCTTTTAGAGACGTTCTTATTTCCTTTTAAAAAAATTTGCTAGTCAACGCACAAACACTTGGCGATGTCTAAATAGATTCGCGGAATTGAGTTTAGACGAAAACTTTGGTCCGTCATAAATTTCAGGCGCGAATGTTGTTGAAGCGCAATCCTTTCGGTACCGAAGAATCGAGTTACGTTCGCCCACGCCTCCTAGTTACGTTTCTGACGAGAAATTAGATTAGAAGGAAACTCGAAATATTTCCCTAATTGGCAGACGTGTATGTACGTGGCTCCACGGGCAACCTTAGTAACCAAAAGCACTTCCCTGATTTGCGTCTGTCACAGAGTGCTCGCCTGTCCTCTCTTGAGGAGGACACTGCCTCACAAATTTCCTATTGACGATAAACACTGTCTATTAAAGTCGTATCGATCGTGGCAGGTTCCCTTCGAGCCTCTTTACGTTTACAGGATTCGCTGCCTTCGAATTAGCTTGTTTTCTGCTCCGGTGACTCGAACCGTATCAAAAAGAGTTAATTCTTCTTTGTCTTAATATTTTTTTTAAGTACTTTGACGTTGGTATTATCCATAGTTTCGCGGTCCGGTTGAAATTTCGGACGAGGAATCGTTTAATAAATTTTTCCTCCAATTGTCGGCATTTTAAATAACTCGCGAACGCTTTATCGTGCTCCTTAGTCCGACTCGCATTTTGTCGTTTCGACGTTGCAATGGAAACACGCCGGATATTCGATCACATCTTACGACCCTCTTTGGATTTCACCTCCGTTCTCGATTTTCTCACGCTGCTTTTGGCTATCAACTTTTCGATATTATAAGTTGCACCTGAAATTGGATGCATCGATTTTTCCCCGATACATGCACGACCACTTACACGACGTATTTCCGCTGTACGAAAAAGACACCGTATTTTCAGTCAACGATGGAAATGTTTTTCCAACGGAACCTGAAGCGAAATAATACGATATTAATTTCTCGTTCGCTGTTGCTGTTTTACGGATTGCCAATGTTCATATTTGCAGGAAATACCGTACGGGTTTTTTTATTTATCCGATTCGAAATATCTTTTTTAAAAACA